CACAAACGAATTAAACGTCGAGTAAGTGAAGTACTAACAAGGAAGCTTTCTATACATGTACCCGGCCAGAAAAGGGCCACTCGTGCGGTGGTTTTATGAATCCAAAACAACATCTTTAAACCACTCTGAGGAAGATGTCCAGTGAGCATCTTACCTTCCCAGAACTTGTGACCACATGCGTCGTAGTGAAAGGGCTTGCAGTCTGATTTACATTATACTATCCTTGTTAATATGTTGGAAAAATGCTTGTCCACCATTTTGGACGTCACGCTAGAGTCTATAGTACTGTTGTTATACCATATGTGAGATGAGCTCAGCAGAAAATTATGTCAAATACTTTGTCACTGACATTATCTGAGGATATTAAAAACATCGACAGCCATACCTGCAGAAGCTAGCGTGGCTGCAAAGCGACCCCTATGTTTTACCATATGGATTATTTACCGACGTCGTGAGAGACGCAGCCGTATCGCTACCACAATTCACCTCTGTCGACTTCCTTTATTTCATTGCTTGACGTGTGTGAAATTTGGCCATATTCTTCTCTGCTCACCTCTTCTGGGGTGACTTGATGTGAGAAAACACAGTAGGAATATATGGTCAGGGGAGACTGGGTGGTCACTCATAGCAGCTGGAAATTTAATCAACAGAATTATATGTATTGGCATCCTGTCTGAGACTATTAATATTATGTTGCAAAAAACAATTATTTATGAAGAACTAAATAAAAAATAAAACTATTTCTGATCTATTTGACTCTTATGGTAAAATTTCCAAACTTTCAAGAAAATTCTAACATTGGAATGTCATTTAAATACTGTTGAAAAAATTATAATGTGATGGACTGATAAAATTTATTGCATGCCAGATCTATATATGAAAATATTACTCAAATATCATACTGAAATGACCATGTGACTTCTAATCCATGTTTGAGCCGAGCCACAAGACAGAGGCGAGGCTTCTGACAAGTTTGTATGTCATTTTGGGGGAATAATGCAGGCTGATACTGTTATGTTATCACAAGTTTTACCTGGCTTTGGAACTGGATGATCATTTACATTTTTATCTAGTAGTATAAAAGGATACATTTATGTGATATTTATTTATATACTGTTGACAAATGAACATTTATACCTGCTATAAAATGTTCACTACACAAATGGCTGTGGTCTGACGGTTCCCAATCTTTCTGATTAACAGCTGAAATCCATCCATTCCGTCGCTGTCCTACGGTCCAACAAGTAATTAGTATGATGGTGCCTCATGAAACCAAGTCCAGTTCACACTGCTAAACCTAGATTAAACACGCGGTAGCGTGATTGACGTCATGTGCAAAACCTGTATGATTTTTATGTCAAATTAGTAATGAAAACTCTACATCCAGGAATATTTTTCAGGAGGAGCTGGTGAGAAAATGAATTAATGATTTGTGTTGCCAAAAAACACAATGTTGATTAGAAATATCAGACAGTTAGTGCCCTAGTGGAGTCAAAATTACTATACTTGCTAGTTTAATACTTCTGTTACGTATCTGGTCGTTTGTTAATTTCCGGTATAAATTATTTCCGAGGAACTTTAGCGATACAAGTCCTTTCTTAATTAAAACTAATTTAATTCTTTCTTTGATACTAACTTTGTTAATACTACAGAATTT